TGAGAGGTAGTGATGTCACCAAAGGAGGATCAGGATGCAGAGAGAACTTGGCCACGGCACGGAATTATGGATACGTGTTTTCATTTTCTTTCTTTTTAAAGAAGAGATTTCTACAACCAGAAACAGTGTTTTATTCAGACATTGTTTTCGGCTGTAGCAATTAAGTAAAAACAGTGAATTAAATTTTAAAAAAAGGACGCTATAAATAAGCTATTGTCAAGTAAGACAAAACGTTGAACACATACCAAATGAAGAAACATTCGCACAGTATCGTAGTATTTTCATTTTCAGTTACTCTAAAAGCAAGTGTGTTTTAACGGCTTCTTGCTTTGATCTTTTCCAAGCTTCACTGAGACACTTCTAACCGTTTAATCGAGTTTACCTTTAAACAAGCATGCATATTTTTCCTTATCATTTTTGTGCCAGCCAAATTAGCCTTTCTGTCTGCCCATGAAAACCTGCTATTCTCACCATCCATCTCTGTGAAATACAGCTAACTGCAGCTGTGAAGAGCTTAATTAGAAAGAGGTGAGTTAAGGTGAAGACTACGTCTATGAATACCCTCAAGATATGGGATGAACAGAGAGCTATACGCTATCACCGTAGCAAGGGGTTTTCCTGCGCTGTGCCACGTTCCTACCTATATTTTAAGTAAGACTGAGCCTCGCAGGATTCGAGCCATTTAAAATTACAAGCTGAATTTTGTCAGCCTTTAAAAAAGATTGCCAGAGTTTCTCGTGAAATAGAGTGCTGTTTCTCTCACACCCAGCAGCTCTACATGAGAAAATGGAGGATAAAGCTTTAAATGGAAGCTTGAGGGGAGGGCGTTCAAAGCCCACTGTGTCTGTATTTCCAGCTCAGTCTTGCTGCTCCTTTGACGCAGTAGATCCAGCTTCTGTTGAATTTGTGTTTGCTATATAAATAAAAGATAATGACATCTTAACCCTTAACATCATTAAAATGTCATGTATCCAATTAAAAACAAGTGGAAGCGGAATATAATATAGTATACCTGATACTATAAATCCCTCCCTGCAGTCTGGAAAGAACATTTAGTGAATTGGCATAGATGCTGATAAGAATAAGCAATGGTCAACAGCAAGTCCAAAGAAGAAAGCCCTTTCCCCATCCCTTCACAGCTTTGGACTTTAGGATGGGTTAAAATAATAATGTAATGCAGGGGACTCGGTAAGTGCAGAAAGTATGTTTTATTTACACAGCTCTGTGTACATGTGTACATAGTACTTTACAGGTTACATTACAGTGGAAGAAGGTACAATACGTACATATAGAAATACATTGTGTTTATATTTTATTTATATGATGTTAACATGGGAACACTTTACAGGCAACATTACAGTGGGGGGTACAGTAAGTGCCTTAGTTATACAGTATATGTGTACATGTTTTTGCGCTTGTGGCTGTGCAAGGCCGCTCCAGAGCATTTCCGCTAATATGAGAGCGGGACTCTGCACGCGGGCAGCCCAGACTAGCTGCAACGCAGGACTGTTTATCAGCCTGGAGTGCATAGGCACAGAGATTCCTTTAACCCCTTAAGGACACATGACATGTGTGGCATGCCATGATTCCCTTTTATTCCATAAGTTTGGTCCTTAAGGGGTTAAGGACAAAAACTTGGGTCCCACTACACCACCTTCCAGATTTAATTCATCTTAATTTTGGTAGGTATGTACCAACAAGTAGGGTTCAGTGCTGAAAGAGTACTTATAGATGCAAGAAGGCAGCTCGAGCAATCCAGGAGTCTATCTTATCAAGAAGTAGTTGAAGTAGTGGTAGGAAAAGAGTTTTGAGTAGAGCATTGACTTTACCCAAGGTGACGTATGTAACAAAAACCGAAGGACAAAGAGATGATAATATAGTGTAGTACATAACAAAACTGGAGTATAAAAGAGATGTGCTTACAGGAAGTGGAGCTTAATAGCTTCTAATGAATGGGCTTGAGCGGTAGATCCCCGCTCAAGGTACAATCCCCGCTCTCCTGGTCTCAGTGAACATAAAACAGAACACAAAGATGGACACTATATAGTGTAGTAGTTTGTGGTATCTTGGTTTACAAAATAGGTGGATAGGTGGATATATTTTGTTTTATTACCTTAGTGTTTTATTGTATCAAATAAGGATGGATATTTTATTTTAACTATTCTGAAGCATCCTGTTTGATTCTGGACTTTCACGAATCTCCTGGACTTTGTCCTCCATGGTTGGGAGTATACCACCAGAACCTTACAGAGTGAGCAAACCTTACTATGCTCCAATTTTATCTACCTCACTAACAGTGTGCACTATAGAGTTGCTTTTGACTTTTCATACATAGTATAGGGAAGACACTGCACCATCAAGATAGCCTTAGAGTGGGGATCAAACCATATTCCAGGCTCCAATAGATGTGAATGCAAATCCTATCCACCTATTCTATAAACCAAGATATAACTAACTACTACACTATACAGTGTCCATCTTAGTGTTCTGTTTAATGTTGACTGGACCATTGTGACGGTTCTCGCCGCAGCAAACAGACGGCCAGACGTGGTCACCCATGGAGTTCCCAACAAGGGACTTGAACCGGGGAACTTCGCAGTCCTGGTCCTGCTTCCTTCCTCTGAGCCACAGCAGCTTTTGTATTCTATGTCATTCTGGTCCTGTTCATCCTGGCATGTCTATTTCTCTGGGGGCTGTACCTTGACTTTGGCTGTGCTTCATCTGACCCTGATCAGACATTAGCAGGGTATTTAAACTCAGCCTCGCCCTGTGATCAGCATCAAGTCTTTGATCCTGTTGTGTGCTTTGTACAAGTGTTCCTGTTGTTTGAGCTGCTACTTGTTATTGACCCCGGCTTCTGACTATGTTTACTCTGACCTCTGGAATCCCTTGACTTCGGCTACTCCTCGTTGTTCCTGTCTTCTGGCATCCTTTGACCTCGGCTATCCTTTGACGATCCTGCTGTTTGAGTCCTTGCCTGTCCTGCGACTTGGTACTTCATCCTGCACAGCCCGCCCCCATGCACAGACCCACAGGCCGGGTGAATTCTTACCTGACCACCTTGGCCTGTGGCTATCTGCAAGGGTGAGCAACATATCTGCGCTAGACTCCCAACCCAGGTAAGACCCTGACAACCATCTACTGAGACCATATATTTTCTCAAGAGCATCCCATAGGAGCTATTAAGCTCCACTTCCTGTTAGTGCATCTATTTTATTCTCCAGTTGTATTACATACTACACTATATTATTCTCCATTTGGCTCAAGGTTTTTGTTATATATCTCAACTGAGGTAAAGTCAAGGCGCTACTTCCAACTCCTTCCTTACCATGTACCAATGGGTATACTTTACATGTTGTGCTTTAAAGGTTAAATCACAGTAGAGAACAGGAATAAGTAAGTGCAGTAGTTTTCATTATTGTGTTTTATAGAAAATCTTTATAAAAGGTCCGCCAGCTGAACCGAATGGACTCATTTGGGGGGTGTATCAATTAGGGACTGACCCGACACCGGACAGGCTGAGAAAGATTGTTGAGAAGGTCGAAACGCGTTTGCACTTGTCTTGGAACGGAGTATTTGTCTCTTACTGCGGTGACTATTTTTTGTGTCTTTTAGACACTTGCCTTACACTACTTGCTTTTACCAGTTCCTATATTTGTTTAATTTTATTATTTTTATGTAATAAATATACTTTTTGAATAATTCGGGATTCGGTGTTCATGTACTTACCTTAGTGATTATCCTGTACCTATCAAGTGGTTGTCCAAGCCTGTATAAGCACCTGTGGAGCCTGCTATATAGAGCCTGATACGGCTCTATGTTTGTGAGTGACATTCTTGAGTTATGCTTATGTATGGTTATCATATACAGAAAGCACTATGCATGTGTCTTTTTTTTGTTTTCTTTTTATAGATAAAATCATCTTCTGTATAAACCGTGCATTCATAAGTATATACTGTATGCTCACAGTGGGAGTAACATTTCTTATTATCTATATTCTTCATACAAGGTATCTCTGGAAATTATCCGGCCATTCTTAATATAAGGAGAACAGTTTGCACGACATCGCTGTAACCTGGCAGCCAAGGAGAGTGGACTGGAATGCACATGTGTGAACAATGATGGCATCACTGTACTAGTCAGTGGGGGTGCTAGATCCCATTGAGTGAGCATCTTTACTGTGTGACCGTCGCATTCTACATGACTGAGCAAGTAGAGTAACAAATCTGCATCAAATTTAGAATTAAGCTTGAATATTTCCTAATTATTACATGGAAATATCCTAAAGTCAGGGACAGTATCTCTGCACCATAACCACTACATTACGCTGTTTGGTGTATAGACTCTTTAAAGGTTTACTCCAAGCACCATGAGGAATTCAATGATTTGAACTGGTCATGGTGCCTGCATTCTGTATGTGCAGTGCTTTGCTTTGAAACACAGCAAATATGGAATTTAACCCCTCCGCTGCTGGAGGTGTAACTTTACCTCATGCAGTGTCATTAGGGTGTCATCAGCCAGCCATGCGAGAGGCTTGTTAATGTCAATTCTGTGCAACTTTCAATGCACAAAATGTCAGTCATTGGCTGAGAACGATCATCTGACACTCTCAGCCAATGAATGGCAACGGCATCAGCTCCCGGCTTCTTCAGCTCTGCAGACGCTTGAAGTATGTCACTGGACCACCAGGGAGCATAGGAACCCAGTGGGGAAGCAGGTGGGTGGGAAAATCATTGCTAAACGGTTTGCTCCATTACTGGGGAAAAGAGCCAGGTTACTACATGCATAATAACCACTTTAACACCTTGTTTAGGGCTGTTAAGTATACAGCAGCAGAGTACTTAGACAACATTTGATAAGTCACTTTATAATATCTGTACCACATGCAAAGCTGTATCATTAACCGGAGATGTCCTTAAACCCCAAAACACCAACATTTGGCATTCTCTTGACCAAGCTTTTCCCTTAAGTGCAGGGCTATAATGTTAGACAGTTACTTCCTTAAGTCCAGATCAGTGCAATTTTAGGAACCATAGGCACAATAGTTAATAGCTTTATTTCTGATAGGATTTTCCCAAATCATAGATGAATTTTAGAAGTTAGAGAGCGTGTGAGAACCTGTGGTCCAGAACCAAAAAACAGGTGAGCTCCATGTACCGTATTGATTTTTCTATTCTCCGCAGAACAGCTGTATTTAGAAATGATGAGAAAATGACACGGTTGACCGACTGGAGTAGAATATGCACAGAGTGAAAAAAAACGATTACATCCTGCATCGGAAACCTCTAGGGATGTCCTCCGGAGAGATTCACCTGCTAGAAACGCTCCTGACTCTAGGATCGGGTGCCGAGAGATTTCACACTTCCATCTCTCTCTTTTCCAGCTTAAAAAAGACGACCAGCTTCAAGCTACAGTGGCCATATTTCTCATCAAGTCCACTTACAGAGGCCAGCGAAGCATGAGCTCAGTGGCAGAGAGACATGAATCGTGTTGAGATACCACTGGGAACCAGAAGAAAATTAATCTGACAGGGAAGAGTCTTTCAGGCTTGTAAAATGCCTGTTTATATATTTTTGACTTTAGCTATGAGGCACATTCAACAGCAGAAGATACAATGAAGCCAAAGTAGTTTGAAAAGCTTGCACTTTAGCTAAAAGTAAAACATATATGTCTGTTTCCAGGTTAGTCATATATAAGTGATCCCTCAAAACAGTGGGATGACACCTCTCACATAGACTGCAATACTAGCCACTTGCACTAATGGAGAGAAAAGTAAGGGCATGGAGTGAGCCTTACAGGGAATCTATGCTGTGCTGTGCCTAGCACATCTCACCTCTGCCCTACCTTTACAATTAAAACATTTATAATATATGTTTACTTACCTTTTTTCCCAGTGCTGTGACACAACATTCCATCTGCCCGAACCACCTCCTTTTATTTATCAACAAGCCTGGTGATGTCTCCAAAATTTTCCTCCAAACCAATGCTTTTCATAGAGATGCAAAGAGCATGCATGGCAATCAACACGATCGTCCAATCAAATGCTTCTTCTAGAGAAGCACTGATTGAACATTCGATGACCTCACGCATTCCATGTGGATGACAAACGTCAAGAATTGAGTATCACAAAATAAGTATCATCTAGTAACAGCCACTAGAGGCGTGTTTAGAACCGCAATATAAACACTGCCATATCTTTAAAATGGCATTCTTTTACTATGCAGGAGCCAAACACATTGAGATGAAATGGTCTGGGTACTTATAGTTAGCTTTAACCCTACATTGTGAAAGAAATCCTGCCCTGAGGAACTTCTCATCTAACATGTACGAAAACCCTGCAGCACGGAGAGTTTACAAACTTGTGGAGAAATGACTCTTTTAAAGAGCTTCCACTTTACTGGAGAAAAAGATTAGAACTGGGTGATTTCAATACAGCGGTACAATAGCAGAACTTAAAGGGACCCTAGCAGTTTAGCAGTGTAGTATGAGACTTCACAAGGCTTTCAGTATGGTGTTATAATGGGAAACCATTCCTTTTAGACCACATAGCCTACCGATAAAATTAGAGACTTCAAAGGGTACATAAAATCTAACATTGGGTTAGGAGACTTTAAAGGGAGCATATAGTATGTTGCTGTAATACAAGGCTTTCAAAGGAGATTAAAATTTAGTGGTGTAATTAGTGATTTTATGATAAACAAAAGTTAAAAGAATAGGAGACGAATAAGTCTCTCTTTACTAATTCACGGCAGCATACGTTAACCAAACAATGTCAATTGCACCGAAAAAACATGCAACCAGGCTTAAAATCTATAGGACATGGTTAACCAAAATTGTCTCACTCAATCTACCTCCTCCATCTGCTCCTCAGATACATGTATTGCATTATTTTATTGCTTTATAGTAACTAGTTTGATACCATTTATATTATATATTGCAGCATTATCCTACTGCAGAAATCTTATTGTTGTGCGTTCTGTTAGTTTACCCTACAGTTTTTCCCCCAGCTTCAATGTTTGTCCCATTTTACTTCCTCTTACCCTCACTCCATCTCCCGTGAGGACTGAGTGCATCTCTAACCTTGGCTCATGTCTATTCCACATTGCAAATAGATTATCTTCCAGGACTTGTAATAAATATAAATGCGGATTGGAATTCCAGGTTCTATAATAGGTTACAGCGATTAGAAATTAGAATGCAAGAGTTTTTCCAAAGGTCAACTAACCTTGGAGCCCATTCCAGTAGAGCTCTTACATTTGTTTAAATTGTCAACTGCTAAGGTAGCTGGCATCCAGATGCAGAGGCATAAGGACTGGGTGTTTTGTTACAGAATTGACCCGAAGGGGCATTGTACTTTCTCGGTTATGCCAAAAGTGTTGCTACAAATCTGTATGCAGAAATTGAACTTGTTGATAATTCAATTGTCATCTGCTCAACCTTATTACTGACAAATTCTGGGAGATGTTAATAGACACTAGGAAACCTCATTCTTCAGGAACCTTAGGGAATCTTCGCCTTCATAGTCTATCCAGTCAACTACCATTATTACTTCAGTTAATATCTGCAATTTTTTGGGAGTTGAACTCAAAAGTACAGTACAAAGAACTATTACAGATTGTCTTGGAAGCTTTGGTTACGTTGATGCTTGGAACAGGATCTGGATCTCATACATTCAGATGTCTCTAATACCCTAAATGTTCTATTTAATGTGTTTGACTGAGGAAAAGTCTAAATGTGTATTTTAGAGTCATTTTCTTTCCAATCGGATCAATTTAGTTTGTAAATGTATGGGCGGTATTTGTTTCAATAGACAGCACCTTCACAAATAGCAGAATACATTGAATGTTTGTGTAAGCTATCAACGTTTGTATTCCAGGGGTGAAAATGAACATTTATCACCAAAACATTTATCTCTGAAAGTGACTGCACTTCTATGTCTTATTTCATTTAAAACGCTGCCAGAAGTTAAGAGCCTAGATTTATCTAACAGGATTTTTTTCTCCAGAAAGAGTATATTTCCAAATCCATAAATGTAGTAAAACTAATCTCAAATGAGCGTTTTACCCTTATTTTGCAAAACATCCCAATATCTGTGTAGGTTGCACTTTGAAAGAACATAAAAAATTTTTTTTTTAAATTAAAAAAAATCTTTTTATTTTTATTTTTAAAGCCTACCTACCTTCTTTCAATTGCTTAAAGGGACACTTAAGCAGTAAAAATATAGATATTTATTCCTAATGTTATAGTGCTACCCTACATAAAGGTGACCACCCTCCCATTTCCCCTGCTATGATGGTGAGATTTGCTAACTCTCTTGCTGCACTAGTCAAGTCCTATGCTACTCATAGAGGAGCATTGTGAACCTAATGTGCATGCCCAGCGAGTGCCACACAGACTTAAACTTTCCAATAAAAAGGCATTGAATCAATTCCTTCCTGTGGGGCTTCTGCATCAAGCGACCACATATCAGTGCAGCGAAAGCGCCTCTAGAGGTGGACTTAACCCTGCAATATAAACACCGCAGTTTCTCAAAAACTGAATGTTTGACATTGTAGGGTTAAGAGGATAGGGACACTGCACCCACACCACTTCAATGAGATAAAGATATCTGGATGACTATAGTGTTCCTTTAATAATTCTGAATGCAATACTTATACAGTGCATTAAAATGAGTGGTTGAATTACAGCCTACTGTGACCCTTTAAGAACTCCAAAAGACTACAATTGGCTCAGTTTACAGCTTGGTGTTTAATTGGGAAATTCACAGGGAGCTTACAATCTACTTGTTTAATAAGAGACTTCCTGCCTAGCTCACAGTCTATTAATATGGTAATGGATTTTGCAAGAAGCTTACAGTCTAAAGGTGTAATAACAAACCTCACAGTGAGGTTACGGTCTAGAAGTGGAAAAAAAACAACTCCCAGGGAGTTTACACTCTAGAAGTGCAATAAATACTTTATAATGAGCTTATAGTAGACTGCTCTAATGTGACACTTCCCTGGAATCTTTTAATCTGTTGGTGTAATAATACACATAGAACTTATAGCCCAATGGTGTAATAAAAGAGTTTTCCAAGTCAATACACAGAATTCTGATGTAATAAGAGACCCCCCCAGGGAACATACAGTATATTAATAAGAAACCCCCCAGGGAACATACAGTATATTAATAAGAAACCCCACAGGGAACATACAGTATTTTAATAAGAAACCCCCCAAGGAACATACAGTATATTAATAAGAAACCCCCCAGGGAACATACAGTATATTAATAAGAAACCCCCCAGGGAACATACAGTATATTAATAAGAAACCCCCCAGGGAACATACAGTATATTAATAAGAAACACCCCACGGAACATACAGTATATTAATAAGAAACCCCCCCAGGGAACATACAGTATTTTAATAAGAAACCCCCCAGGGAACATACAGTATATTAATAAGAAACCCCCAGGGAACATACAGTATATTAATAAGAAACACCCCCAGGGAACATACAGTATATTAATAAGAAACCCCCCCAGGGAACATACAGAAACCCCCAGGGAACATACAGTATATTAATAAGAAACCTAGGAACATACAGTATATTATTAAGAATCCCAGGAACATACAGTATACATAAGAAACCCCCCAGGAAATACAGATATTATTAAGAAACCCCTAGGAACATACAGTATATAATAAAAACCTAGAACATACAGTATATTAATAAGAAACACCCCAGGGAACATACAGTATATTAATAAGAAACACCCCAGGGAACATACAGTATATTATCAAGAAAACCTCCAGGAACATACAGCATATTAATAGTATATTAATAAGAAACCCCCCCAGGGAACATACAGTATATTATTAAGAAACCCCCCAGGGAACATACAGTATTTTAATAAGAAACCCCCCAGGGAACATACAGTATATTAATAAGAAACACCCCAGGGAACATACAGTATATTATTAAGAAACCCCCCAGGGAACATACAGTATATTAATAAGAAACCCCCCCAGGGAACATACAGTATATTAATAAGAAACCCCCCAGGGAACATACAGTATATTAATAAGAAACACCCCACGGAACATACAGTATATTAATAAGAAACCCCCCCAGGGAACATACAGTATTTTAATAAGAAACCCCCCAGGGAACATACAGTATATTAATAAGAAACCCCCAGGGAACATACAGTATATTATAAGAAACCCCCCAGGGAACA